ACCACTCTTCGGGTGCTGCTGCACATAGCCGCTCAGCGCGACTACGAGCCTCACTCTCTCGACTTCAGCACAGCTTTCCTGCAGGGCACCCTGCACGAGGAGATCTGGCTGCGCCGCCCACCTGGCTTCACTGGGTCGTTTCCCCCTGGTACCCAGTGGAGCCTCCGGCGGCCAGTCTACGGTCTCCGCCAGGCACCGCGTGAGTGGCACGACACACTGAGGACTACACTTGCGGCTCTTGGGTTTGCTCCTTCTACAGCCAATCCGTCGCTGTTTCTGCGCACCAACACCTCTTTGTCGCCGTTCTACATCCTCGTGTATGTCGACGACTTGGTCTTTGCCACTGCTGACACTGCTGGACTCGCCCACGTGAAGTCCGAGCTGCAGAAGAGACACACGTGCACAGACCTGGGTGAACTGCGCAGCTATCTTGGCTTGCAGATCACCCGGGACAGAGCACAGCGCACCATTACCCTGACTCAGTCACACATGGTGCAGCAGGTCCTTCAGCATTTCGGCTTCACGTACTCCTTGCCTCAGACCACTCCTCTGTCTACTCGCCACTCGCTCTCAGCTCTGCTTTCGGATGAGTCCATAGAGCCGAGTGGCCCGTACCCAGAGCTTGTTGGCTGCCTCATGTACCTGATGACCTGCACACGACCTGACCTCGCAGACCCTCTTGGCATCTTGGCACGCTATGTTGCTCCTGGGAGACACCGACCAGAGCACATGGCTGCAGCGAAGAGGGTGTTGCGCTACGTGTGCAGTACGTCGGGCATGGGGCTAGTGCTTGGAGGGCGACGTCGAGTGGTCCTCACAGGTCACGCAGACACTTCTTGGGCTGACAACCAGGCTTTGCAGCGGTCGTCACAGGGTTACACCTTCAGCCTTGGCTCCGGCTCTGTTTCGTGGCGGTCTACCCGCTCGTCTTCTGTTCTCAGCTCCAGGTGTGAGGCTGAGATCTACGCAGGGGCCATGGCTGCACAGGAGCTACGCTGGCTCACCTACCTGCTGACTGACCTAGGAGAGCCGCCTCGTTCTCCTCCAGTTCTGTACGTAGACAACAAGGCCATGCTGGCCTTGTGTCGGGAGCACAGACTGGAGCAGAGAACGAAGCACATTGCTCTCCGCTACTTCCTGGCTCGTGAGCTGCAGTAGCGTGGTCAGCTCCGCCTCACCTACGTGGCCTCTGAGGCCAACACTGCTGCTCTAGGTGCTAGTGCGTCTCCTGCCCCAGGTGCCACTGCGTCTGCTGCCCCACGTGCCAGTGCGTCTGCTGCCCGAGGTGCTGGTGAGTCTGCTCTCTCAGGTACTTCGTCGGCTCAGGCCTTCCACACCTTCACCCTTGACTCTGGTGGGTCCCGCTCCTTCTTTCGAGACCGCACCACTCTTACGCCGCTTAGTCAGCCGGTTGCAGTCTCCCTGGAAGACCCCTCTGGGGGTCCTGTCCTTGCTAGCTTCTCCACTGTCTTACCGTGCCCGGCAGCCCCCTCTGGCACCCTGTCAAGTCTCTACCTCCCCTCGTTCTCTACGAAATTGGTGAGTGGAGCGGACCTACAGGATAGGGGGGTTGACCCACTGCACGTGTGCTCGGACAGGCCGACACTTGGCCACGTTCACTCGTCGGCCAGGCTCGACCCTGTACACCCTTACTACTCAGTCTCCTCCGGCTGCTGAGTTTGGCCAGGTAGCTGCGTCGAGTCAGGTGTTTGCTGCAGCGTCCAGGTCTGGTCCTGAGTCTGCTCCTACTCGTGTCGTCTCCTGTCCCGCCAGACTCTCCTCTGGCACCGCCGTCCTTGTCACCCCTCCCTGCCTCGTCTCCGAGGCATGGCCTCCCGTGTCCTTGTCTCTGGTCTCCCTCGGTCTCTCCCTCCCCTATATCCGGGGCCTGGCCCAACCTGCGTCCCCTGCGTCGAGGGGCGACAGCGCGCCGCCCCTCACTCCTCCGAGTTTCCTCCGACAGAGGCTCCGCTACAGACCCTCCACATGGACGTGTGGGGCCCTGCCCGCGTCCGTGGACAAGGGCACGAGCGTTACTTCTTGTTGGTGGTTGACGAATACTCGCGTTACACCACAGTCTTTCCCTTGCGCAGCAAGAGTGACGTCACTGAGGTGTAGATCGACTGGATCCGCGCAGCTCGTCTCCAGCTCAGAGAGAGTTTCGGCTTGGACTTTCCTGTTCTGGGAGGCGGACAGAGGCGGGGAGTTTTCCTCTGCCCGTCTGGGAGCCTTCTATTGTGCACAGGGCATCCGCCAGACCTTCACGCTTCCGGCCTCTCCACTGCAAAATGGGATTGCTGAGCGCCGCATTGGCATGGTCATGGACGTTGATCGTACGTTTATGATGCATGCGGATGCCCCCCATTTTCTGTGGCCGTTTGCGGTTCAGTACGCCGCGCATCAGCTCAACCTTCAGCCCCGGGACTCCTTGCCAGAGACCTCCCCCGCCTTGCGGTGGACCGGGAAGGCTGGCGATGCGTGTGGGTTTCGGGTCTGGGGATCTCGGGCGTTTGTCCGCGACTTGTCTGCGGACAAGGTGTCTCCCCGTGCTGTTCCCTGCCTCTTCCATGGCTTCCCCCCTGACGCGCCTGGGTGGTAGTTTTACCATCCCACCTCACGCCGTGTTCTGTCCTCCCAGGACGTCACCTTTGACGAGTCGGTGCCTTACTACCGTCTCTTCCCCTACCGCACTGCGCCCCTCCCCCCGCCGCCGCTCTTCCTTGCTCCATGTCCTCCTCCGGTAGACCCCCTCACCCCTCGGGGTCCTGCCCCGTCAGGTGTGTCCCAGGTAGACGCAGTGGAGCATTTCGAGGTAGCTGTAGACTCTGGTGCTGCTAGAGGTGCTGAGCCTGCGGGTGCCGGGTCTGGGGGTGCTGAGACTAGGGGTGCTGAGACTTGGGTTGCTGAGTCCGAGGGTGCTAAGCCTAGGGGTGCTGGGTCTGCGAGTGCGGAGCCTGGGGGTGCAGAGCCTGGAGGTGCTGAGCCTGGGGGTGCTGAGCCTGGGGGCGCTGGGTCTGCTCGTGTGGTCGCCGGCGGTGCTTCGTCGAGGCGGGAGCCACTCTCTCCACAGGAGCTTTGCGAGTGGTTTGCCCGCCGCTGGAGACGTGCTACTGAGACTAAGGGTGCTGCTAGGGCTACTGGAGTTGGTCCTGCTGGAGCTGCTGGCCGTACTAGTGCTGCTGGAGCTGGAGCTGCTGGGGGTGTTGGCGCTGGTGTTTCTACTGGCGCCGGTGCGTTTGGGGGTGCTGCTGAGGCTGCTGGAGCTGACGGTCCTACTGGAGTTGGTGCTGCTGGAGCTGGAGCTGCTGGGGGTGTTGGCGCTGGCGGTGCTGCTGGCGCTGGTGCTTCTGAGGGTGCTGGAGTTGGCGCTGTTGGAGCTGGAGGTGCTTCTGGCGCTGGTGCTGCCGCTTGGGGTATTGGTGCCGTCCTTGCTGGTTCTGGAGGCGCTGAGCGGCCGAGGCCGTACTTCGTTCCGCTCTTGGAGCAGGTTCTTGGTCTCCCGCCCTCTCCTGGTCCTGCTCCTTCCTTAGAGTGTCCACAGCCTGTCCAGTCGCAGTCACAGTTACAGCCCGCCTCCCCACTACCTGCTCCTTCTCCCTACACTGGTCCTACTAGAGGTCTTGCTGAGCGTCGTGCGCCTGCGTCTCGTCCTGCGTCGCTTGTTCGTGGTGCTCGCACTAGCGGTCGTACTACGCGTCCGCGTCCTACTGTGGTCCCCGCCACACACGAGATGGCGCTGCATCCTTCCACTGCTCCTCTGCGTGTCGTGTTGCCGTCTCCTCTAGAGTCCTCTCTTCCTACTCTTGCTGACCTGGAGTCTGACTCCCTTCGTGCTACTAGTCCTTCGGTCACGCGTCTCATTGCTACTGTTGTCACTGACCCTTCCTTTGAGTCCACAGCTGCATCTACCCTAGTTGCTGAGCTTGTCGACTTCGCTGCTCGCTGTCGTCTAGACTACGCTGCCATTCTCGTTGCTGAGTCTGAGTCTGTCTGTCCTCCGTCCGTCGGGGGTGATTGTGCTCTTAGCAAAGACGTCCTTGAGGACAGGCAAGAGGAGTTCCAGTGTTTTGCTGCTGCTTTGCCCCATCTCGTGTCCACGCTAATTGCCCCTGAGGGAGACCCGGATGCACCAGACATCCCGACTCCTCGATCGTACGCTGAGGCGATCGAGGGTCCCTACTCCTCTCAGTGGCAGTCAGCCATGAACGCAGAGATGGCATCCTGGAAGTCCACAGGCACCTACGTCGACGAGGTTCCCCCACCTGGGGTGAACATCGTCAGTGGCATGTGGATTTTCATGGTGAAGCGGCCTCCGGGTTCTCCGCCTGTCTTCAAGGCGCGTTACGTGGCTCGAAACTTCAGTCAGCGGCAGGGAGTTGACTACTTCCGGACCTTCTCTCCCACCCCGAAGATGACCACTCTTCGGGTGCTGCTGCACATAGCCGCTCAGCGCGACTACGAGCTTCACTCTCTTGAATTCAGCACAGCATTCCTGCAGGGCAGCCTGCACGAGGAGATCTGGCTGCGCCGCCCACCTGGCTTCACTGGGTCGTTTCCCCCTGGTACCCAGTAGAGCCTCCGGCGGCCAATCTACGGTCTCCGCCAGGCACCCCGTGAGTGGCACGACACACTGAGGACTACACTTGCGGCTCTTGGGTTTGCACCTTCTACAGCCGACCCGTCGCTGTTTCTGCGCACCAACACCTCTTTGCCGCCGTTCTACATCCTCGTGTACGTCGACGACTTGGTCTTTGCTACTGCTGACACTGCTGGACGCGCCCACGTGAAGTCTGAGCTGCAGAAGAGACACACGTGCACAGACCTGGGTGAACTGCGCAGCTACTTCGGCTTGCAGATCACCCGCGATAGAGCACAGCGCACCATTACCCTGACTCAGTCACACATGGTGCAGCAGGTCCTTCAGCACTTCGGCTTCACGTACTCCTCGCCTCAGGCCACTCCTTTGTCTACTCGCCACTCGCTCTCAGCTCAGCCTTCGGATGAGTCCGTAGAGCCGAGTGGCCCGTACCCAGAGCTTGTTGGCTGCCTCATGTACCTGATGACCTGCACACGACCTGACCTTGCATACCCTCTTAGCATCTTGGCACGCTATGTTGCTCCTGGGAGACACCGACCAGAGCACATGGCTGCAGCGAAGAGGGTGTTGCACTACGTGTGCAGTACGTCGGGCATGGGGCTAGTGCTTGGAGGGCGACGTCGAGTGGTCCTCACAGGTCACGCTGACGCTTCTTGGGCTAACGACCAGGCTCTGCAGCGGTCGTCACAGGGTTACACCTTCAGCCTTGGCTCCGGCTCTGTTTTGTGGCGCTCTACCCGCTCGTCCTCTGTTCTCAGCTCTAGCTGTGAGGCTGAGATCTACGCGGGGGCCATGGCTGCACAGGAGCTACGCTGGCTCACCTACCTGCTGACTGACCTAGGAGAGCCGCCTCGTTCTCCTCCAGTTCTGTACGTAGACAACAAGGCCATGCTGGCCTTGTGTCGGGAGCACTGACTGGAGCACAGAACGAAGCACATTGCTCTCCGCTACTTCCTGGCTCGTGAGCTGCAGCAGCGTGGTCAGCTGCGCCTTGCTTACGTGGCCTCTGAGGCCAACACTGCTGATATCTTCACCAAGGCTCTTCCGCCTTGTGATCATCAGCGCTTCTGTACTTTGCTAGGTCTTGTGCCTACCTAGCCTCCCTTGCTCACTTCTTGATCTTGTTTGTACTGTACTCTTTCTATACCTGCACTTGCTTGTTTACCTTTATATATATGATCTTGCATGTGAACTGGCCTTGTGGCCTTGCTCTTGTGCTTGGACTGTGTGGTGACTTTGTGATCCACCCTGAGCTTGCTTTGTTTTGCTTGACTGGTCTTGTGACAACTTGTTCTCCCCCACTTTGCCTATGGGGGTGTGTCAGAACATTAAAGCTTATACATCGCCGTCGCCACCCTTCGCGGCCCCGTTGCCGCCCCTAGCGGCCCCGTCGCCGCCCCTCGCGGCTCTGTTTCTGCCCTCCGCGGCCCCATCGTTGCCCGTTACGGCCCTGTCGCCGCCCTTCGTGGCCGCGTCGCCGCCCCTAGCGGCTCCGTCGCCCCCACTCTCGGCCCTGTCGCCGCCCGCTGCGGCCCCGTCGCCGCCCTTCGCGGCCACGTCGACGCGCGTTGCGGCCTAGTCGCCGCCCTTTGTGGCCCAGTCGCCGCCCTTCGCGGCCTCGTCGCCGCTCGTTGCGGCCCCATCCCTGCTCTTCTCGGCCCCTCGTGGCCCCTTCACGGCCGCGTCGTCGCCCTACGCGACCCCTCCCTGGTCCCAGCAGCAGCAGCGGCCACCTCTACCGCTGCAGCCACCGTCGCTGCCGACTGCAGCCACCCTGCAACTGCCGCCCCTGGAGCAACCACCCCTGCAGCAGCCGCCCCTGGAGCAGCCGCCACTGCAGTTGCTGCCCCTGGAGCAGCCACCCCTGCAGGAGCCGCCCCTGGAGCAGTCGCCCCTGCAGCAGCCGCCCGTGGAGCAGCCGCCACTGCAGCAGCCACCCCTGGAGCAGCCGCCACTGCAGCAGCCGCCCCTGGAGCAGCCGCCACTGCAGCAGCCGCCTCTGGAGCAGCCGCCCCTACAGCAGCCGCCCCTGGAGCAGCCTCCCCTGCAGCAGCCGCCCCTGGAGCAACCACCCCTGCAGTAGCCGCCCCTGGAGCAGCCACCCCTACAGGAGCCGCCCCTGGAGCAGTCGCCCCTGCAGCAGCCGCCCCTGGAGCAGCCGCCACTGTAGCAGCCGCCCCTGGAGCAGCCGCCCCTGCAGCTGCCGCCCCTGGAGCAGCCACCCTTGCAGCAGCCGCCCCTGGAGCAGCCGCCACTACAGCAGCCGCCCCTAGAGCAGGCACCCCTGCAGCAGCCGCCCCTGGAGCAGCCGCCCCTGCAGCAGCTGCCCCTGGAGCAGCCGCCACTGCAGCAGCCGCCCCTGGAGCAGCTGCCACTACAGCAGCCGCCCCTGGAGCAGCCGCCCCAGGAGCAGCCGCAACTACAACTCCCGCCCCTGGAGCAGCCGCCCCTGTAGCTGCCGCGGAGCCCTCGCCCTACAGTGGTAGCCGCCTCGCCGTTGCCAGCGTCGTCCGCGTGAGTCCCTCACTCCCCAACAGCTTCGTGAGTGGTACGCTAGTTGGGGTTATAGGGGTGGCCGCGCTGCGACTACTGCTATTGCTACTGCTGCTACACTGCGGCTACCACTGCTCCTGCTGCTCCTGGCGGTGGCCAGATGCTGCTCCAGCGACGTCCGCATGAGTCCCTCACGCCCCAGGAGCTTCGTGAGTGGTACGCTACTTGGGGTTGTCGGGGTGGCCGTAGTGGGAGTCGTCTTGGAGTGAGTAGTTTCCCAGCTGCTTGTAGTGGCCAGGTGCAGCTGTAGCGTCGACCGTGCGCGGTCCTTTCGCCCTAGCAGCTTTGTCAGTGGAACACTCAGCGTGGCGGGTCACGGGGTACTGCTCGCTGTCCGAACGTCATTCGCACTGGTGCTCGGACTTGTCAGGCTTGCGGGTTGTTTGGTCACGCAGAGTCCTGCTGCTTCGCCCGTCTGAGCGACGCCTGGCGTATGGAGTTTGGCGACGCGGCTGAGCTCCTCGACTGGGTGGAGCTGCTTAGGTTGCGGGTAGATATCTATACTCTTGACTATGATGCTATCCTCACTGCCATGTATGCATTGCCTACTAGTGATGAGGGTGACTGTTACCTGTGTGTTCCGCCTGACCCGGGCATTGAGGCTGCTGCTCTAGGTGCTGGTGAGGCTGCTTCTCTAGGTGCTAGTGCGTCTCTTGCCCCAGGTGCTGGTGAGTCTGCTCTCTCAGGTACCACGTCGGCTCAGGCCTTACACACCTTCATCCTTGACTTGGGTGCTTCCCACTCCTTCTTTCGAGACCGCACCACGCTTACGCCACTTAGTCGGCCGGTTGCGGTCTCCCTGGAGGACCCCTCTGGGGGTCTTGTCCTTGCTTGCTTCTCCACTGTCTTACCGTGTCCGGCAGCCCCCTCTGGCACCCTGTCAGGTCTATACCTCCCTTCGTTCTCTACAAACTTGGTGAGTGGTGCTGATCTACAAGATGGGGGGGGTTGACCAGTTCACTCCTGCGAGTCAGCGGGTGACCCACTGTACGTGTGCTCGGACGAGCCGACACTTGGCCACGTTTACCTGTCGACCGGGGTCGAGCCCGTACACACTGACTACTGAGTCTCCTCCGGTTGCTGAGTCTGGTCAGGTAGCTGCGTCGAGTCAGGTGTTTGCTGCAGCGTCCAGGTCTGGTCCTGAGTCTGCTCCCTGCTCGTGTCGTCTCCTGTCCCACCAGACTCTTCTTTGGCACCACCGCCTTGGTCACCCCTCCCTGCCTCGTCTCCGAGGCATGGCCTCTCGTGTCCTTGTCTTTGGTCTTCCCTGGTCCCTCCCTCCCCTCCCTCTGGGGCCTGCCCCTACCTGCGTTCCCTGCGTCGAGGGGCGGGAGCGCGCCGCCCCTCACTCCTCCGAGTTTCCTCCGACAGAGGCTCCGCTGCAGACTCTTCACATAGATGTGTGGGGCCCTGCCTGCGTTCGTGGCCAGGGTCACGAGCGTTACTTCCTGTTGGTGGTTGACGACTACTCGCGTTACACCATGGTGTTCCCCTTGTTCAGCAAGGGTGACGTCACTGAGGTGTTGATCGACTGGATCCGCGCAGCTTGTCTCCAGCTCAAAGAGAGTTTCGGCTCGGACTTTCTTGTTCTACGTCTGCACTCTGACAGAGGCGGGGAGTTTTCCTCTGCCCATCAGGGAGCCTTCAATTGTGCACAGGGCATCCGCCAGACATTCATGCTTCCGGCCTTTCCACAGAAAAATGGGATTGTTGAGCACCGCATTCGCATGGTCATGGACGTCGCTCGTACGTCCATGATCCAAACGGCTGCCCCCCATTTTCTCTGGTCGTTTGGGGTTCAGTACGCAGCGCACCAGCTCAACCTTCAGCCCCGGGTCTCCTTGCCAGAGACCTCCCCCACCTTGCAGTGGACGGGGAAGGTTGGCGATGCGTCTGCGTTTCGGGTCTGGGGATCTCGGGCGTTTGTCCGCAACTCGTCTGCGGACAAAGTGTCCCCCCGTGCTATTTCGTGCGTCTTCCTTGGCTTCCCCCCTGATGCGCCTGGGTGGTAGTTTTACCACCCCACCTCGCACCGTGTTCTGTCCTCCCAGGACGTCACCTTTGACGAGTCGGTGCCTTACTACCGTCTCTTCCCCTACCGCACTGCGCCCCTCCCCCCGCCGCCGCTCTCCCTTGCGCCAGGTCCTCCCCAGGTAGACCCTCTCCCCCCTGAGGGTCCTGCGCCGTCAGGTGTGTCCCAGGTAGACGCAGTCGAGCCTGTCGAGGTAGCTGTTGACTCTGGTGCTGCTAGGGGTGCTCACCTGGGGGTGCTGAGTCTGGGGGTGCTCAGTCTGGGGGTGCTGAGCCTGGGGGTGCGGAGCTCGGGGGTGCGGGGCCTGGGGGTGCTAAGCCTGGGGGTGCGGAGCCTAGGGGTGCTGGGTCTGCTCGTGTGGCCTCTAGCGGTGCTGGGTCTGGGGGCCCTTCGGGTGCTTTGTCTCGGCAGGAGTTACCCTCTCCACAGGAGCTGCGCGAGTGGTTTGCCCGACGCTGGAGCCGTGCTGCTGGAGCAGGAGGTGCTACTATTGCTGCTGACCCTAGGGTCGGCGCTGGAGGTACTGGAGCCACTGGTCCTGGAGGTGCTCGTACTGGCGGTACTGGAGCTGCTCGGACTGGGGGTGCTGCTGGGGCTGCTGGAGTTGGTCCTGCTAGAGGTGCTGCTGGTGTTGCTGGAGGTACTGGGGGTACTGGAGCTGTTGGGCCTTGGGGTGCTCCTGGTGCTGGAGCTGCTGACGCAGCTGGAGCTGGCGGTCCTACTGGAGTTGGTGCTGCTGGAGCAGGAGCTGCTGGAGAAGGAGCTGCTGGGGGTGTTGGCGCTGGAGGTGCTACTGGCGCTGGTGTTGGTGGAGCTGCTGGAGCTGCAGGAGTTGGTGCTATTGGAGCTGCTGGAGCTGCTGGAGCTGGAGATGCTGGGGGTGTTGGGGCTGGCGGTGCTGCTAGCGCTGCGCTTCTGAGGGTGCTGGAGTTGGCGCTGTTGGAGCTGGAGGTACAGCTGACGCTGGTGTTGCCGCTGGGGTTAGTGGTGCTGTCCCTGCTGGTTCTGGAGGCGCTGCGCGGCCGCGGCCGTACTTCGTTCCGCTCCTTGAGCAAATTCTTGGTCTCCCGCTACTACTGGTCTTGCTCCTCCCTTAGAGTGTCCACAGCTTGTCCAATCGCAGTCACAGTTACTGCCCGCCTCCCCCCTATCTGCTCCTTCTCCCTACACTGGTCCTACTGGAGGTCTTGCTGAGCGTCGTGAGCCTGCGTCTCATCCTACGTCGCCTGTTCGTGCTGCTCACACTAGTCGTCGTGCTCCGCGTCCTCCCGCGGTCCCAGACACACACTAGATGGCACTGCGTCCATCCACTGCTCCTCTGCGTGTCCCGTTGCCGTCTCCTCTAGAGTCCTCTCTTCCTGTCCTTGCTGACCCAGAGTCTGACTCTCTTCACGTGGCTTCACTGGGTCGTTTCCTTCTGGTACCCAGTGGAGCCTCCGGCGGCCAGTCTACGGTCTCCGCCAGGCGCCCCGTGAGTGGCACGACACACTGAGGACTACACTTGCGGCTCTTGGGTTTGCTCCTTCTACTACTAACCCGTTGCCGTTTCTAAGCACCGACACCTCTTTGCCGCCGTTCTACATCCTCGTGTACGTCGACGACTTGGTCTTTGCCTCTGCTGACACTGGTGGACTCGCCCACGTGAAGTCCGAGCTGCAGAAGAGACACACGTGCACAGACCTGGGTGAACTGCGCAGCTACCTTGGCTTGCAGATCACCCGGGACAAAGCACAGCGCACCATTACCCTGACTCAGTCACACATGGTGCAGCAGGTCCTTCAGCGCTTAGACTTCACGTAGTCCTCGCCTCAGGCCACTCGCTCTCAGCTTTGCCTTCGGATGAGTCTGTAGAGCCGAGTGGCCCGTACCCAGAGCTTGTTGGCTGCCTCATGTACCTGATGACTTGCACACGACCTGACCTTGCATACCCTCTTAGCATCTTGGCACGCTATGTTGCTCTTGGGAGACACCGACCAGACAACATGGCTGCAGCGAAGAGGGTGTTGCGCTACTTGTTTAGTACGTCGGGCATGGGGCTAGTGCTTGGAGGGCGACGTCGAGTGGTCCTCACAGGTCACGCAGATGCTTCTTGGGCTGACGACCAGGCTACGCAGCGGTCGTCACAGGGTTACACCTTCAGCCTTGGCTCCGGCTCTGTTTCGTGGCGGTCTACCCGCTCGTCTTCTGTTCTCAGCTCCAGCTGTGAGGCTGAGATCTACGCGGGGGCCATGGCTGCACAGGAGCTACGCTGGCTCACCTACATGCTGACTGACCTAGGAGAGCCGCCTCGTTCTCCTCCAGTTCTGTACGTAGACAACAAGGCCATGCTGGCCTTGTGTCAGGAGCGCAGACTGGTGTAGAGAACGAAGCACATTGCTCTTCGCTACTCCCTTGCTCGTGAGCTGCATCAGCGTGGTCAGCTGCGCCTTGCTTACGTGGCCTCTGAGGCCAACACTGCTGATATCTTTACCAAGGCACTTCCACCTGGTGATCATCAGCGCTTCTGTACAATGCTAGGTCTTGTGCCTACTTGGCCTCACTTGCTCACTTCTTGACCTTGCTTGTACTGTGATCTTTCTATACCTGCACTTGCTTGTTTACCTTTATGTATGATCTTGCATGTCAACTGGCCTTTTGGCCTTGCTCTTGTGCTCGGACTGTGTGGTGAAGTTGTGATCCACCCTGAGCTTGCTTCACTTTGCTTGACTGGTCTGGTGACCTCTTGTTCTCCCCCACTTTGCCTATGGGGGTGTGTCAAACTTATATGCTATAGTCTGTGTAGGCTATAGTGGGCTAGACAATATGGGGTACAACATTTCTCGGTTTTCCTTCTTGTACCCACCTCTTTCCTAGTTCACTCATTCCTCATTCTTCACACGCTTCCTAGGGCCCACCACTGAAAATCATTTTTTGTTTTTTCTGACCGGAGCGCGAGTTGCCCCTGCGCGAGGCGCGCCCCGTGGGCCGCCCTCTCGTCGCGTCCCCTACCCTTAGCGGCCCGTCGCACCCTCCTAGAGGCCCCTCTCACGGCCCCTTGCGCCACCCCTAGCGGCCGCGTCGCCGCCCTTTGCGGCCTGTCGCCGCCCCTCGCGGCCCCTTCGCCACCCCTAGCGGCCCCGTC